CCTAAGTATTAAAATGAGAAAGGTCCATAATTAATTGGAGCTCCAAATTCACAAACACTGTGAACCTTAGATGCTGCAGCTGCTAAACTGAGATCGAAATATCCCTACTACTTGCTTGTCCTGTCCAACAGTCACTGCCACAAACAGGGACCTGCCCTTTTCCAGACACTTGGTAGCTCAAGAAGACACCACTAGAAAAAGTTTCACCCAGTCACTGAGGTCACAAGATCAGAAGAGGACATGAGGATGATGTAACAGGTTTGACTGAAAGCTCAAAGTGATGACACCTGATAGGCTGAAGGAAATAAGGCCAGAGCTGTTAACTGATGTCTCAAGAGACAGTAGTGGTTGGAAATGTAGCTGACCTGATGGTTGATTTAAGTCAATGTTTAGAAACTCTTTGAAGGTAGAGTGGGGGAAGGTGGTCAATCTCATTGCGCAATGCATTTATTTAAGTCTTAATCATGATTACCATAATAAATGCCAACTCTTTGGACTATAAGATGATTAAGATTCATTTGTAAAGAACACAAGCCATGAGCCACAGAGGGCAATTGCTTAATTAAACTGCAGGGAAATTGTGGTGTTGGGGGTGTAACTGCTTGAATTGGGAATGGATCAGGCTAGCAGCTGCAGCTCCTGGGACCTTTCACAGGGAAAGTGCATCAACACCTTAAATCCAAAGATCCCGTTACATTTCCCTTATACTTTATTACAGTTAGAACACTTTAACACTAGAGTTAACTGCTAGACTTGAGTGCATATGTGTGCTCTGCTGGGCCACACTCTCAGCCCATCACTTAAAACTGTGAGTGCCCTCGCCTTTATTTATCTCTTTACTTGCTTTATAAAATAAAACATTACAGTGTGTGCTGGGCATGGTGGTGCAACCCTTTAATCCTAGTACTGGGGAGGCAGAGGTGAGGGGGATCTCTGTGAGTTCAAGGTCAGCCTGGTCTCCAAAGCATGTTACAGACAAACCAGGGCTGCACAAAGAGATCCCATCTTTAAAAGAGAAAGATGTGTAAGTCTAAAGATCAGATAGAAAACAAATATTACTAAAATAGCCAACCACACATCGTTGAGCAGGTCGTATCCTGAGGAAGAAAACTCCAAAACAATAAGGCTCTCCCTCTGCCTACGCTCTGAAAGTGTTATGCCAAAGAGGTCCTGTCACTCAAAACTGTTCATTCTAACCTGTTCTTGGAGTATCTTCCTAGAAACATGTGGAAAGCCAAAGAAATTCTCCATGAAAACTGTGGGGTTCTTTCACAAATGTCATTAAAGTCACTGTCCAAAATGTTGGGATCCTGGGTCCCAGCTGCAGTGCCCAGTACCCCTGAATGGTCTGCTCACTCTTGACTGACCGCAGTCAGATGAGGGGTACCACACATCGTGGACTGAGAAACTAAGATGTACATTCACATGGCGTTGTCGCTAAACTCAGCAGCCCAGAGTCACGTGCCTGTGCACAGGCAAGGCCTGGCATCCACCGGCATTCGAGAAGAGTAAATGGAGCTGCCTAGCGGGATCTCAAGAAAACAGAACAGAAGCAAGAAAGAAACACACTAAGCGCTTCACCAGGTGTAAGAAAAAGTGAGTCTTAAATACCCTATAAAGACAACTAACATTTGTTTAACAATAGCTGAATGCTCCGAGCAGAAGGCTGGAAATGGGAGGAGGTGACATCTCACTTTCTACCTTCTGTGTTATTTTAATTTTTCGACATGCTGAGATTGACATTTTCATCAACTTTCCGCAGGAGGAAGAGAAGGCGCAGCAACATTGTGTCGTGTGTGTGTGTGTGTGTGTGTGTGTGTGTGTGTATGTGTGTGTTGGTGGTGGTGTCGCACAGCTGGAAAGCAGTGAAGGTTACACTTGCCTTTGAAAAGAATACTGTTATAGATGAGACAGTTGTCAAGGAAAGTGGGTAAATACTCATTTCCTCCCTGACATGGAGCTGGTTGCCCACTAATAGAAACAAATTGAAGATAAGATAAAAGGACTTGAGGAAAAAGATTAAAAGGCAAAAAAAGGAACCATCATTATAAGTGTTGAAAAGTTAGCTGACTGTGACTAAGAAAATGGATTATTCAGCGAAGATGAGGACCTGCTAAGGTTGGAACTCATAAATTTGTTATGGAGCCAATCGGCACAATTACATAACGTCCCCTGGCATTGCGAGGGACCCAGGTGCAGTCGGTTTGGGCTGGCAGGACAGTGGTATTCAAAGGACTTCAGAAGACATGGGAGGACCGTTAGTTCCAAAGCAGGTAGGATACAGAGTCTGGCTTCAAGATCTTCTAAAAGTACGTATAAAGCAAAACTGGACTAGAATTAAAAGGAATAAAGGCTCTAGATGGTTCTGAAGAAATAGAAAGAGTGACACCAAGCGTCATGACATGTTGAATTAGGAGCGGCGGGGCTGCGTCCCTGGCACCCGGTCACCCACATGGCTAGCTTATGCCCCGAAATAATTACACGGAAACTGTATTCTTTTAAACACTGCCTGGCCTGGCTAGTTCCAGTTTCTTATTGGCTAGCTCTTACATATTAATCTAACCCATTTCTAATAATCTGTGTAGCCCACGAGCTGGCTTACCAGGCAGGATCTTAACCTGCGTCTGTCTGGAGTGGGAGAACCATGGCGACTCCTGACTAAGCTTCTTTCTCCCAGCATTCTCTTCTGTTTACTCCACCCACCTATGTTCTAACCAATAAAATAGGCCAAGGAAGTTTCTTTATTAGTAAGAAATCACTCCCACATCAATGACAATTGCAAGCAGACAGCTGTGACAGACAGGCTGGCTGCTGATTTACAGAAATTTCTGCCAGACTCTAAGTTCAAAGTCATCAGACGGGCTGGGAGCAAAACTGATCTCTGGAGGGGAACACACTGGGCCCCCACGCAGGGAGATAAGCCGTGAATGGACTCTCATCTGTACTCTTACCACTAGCTCCAATTCAGATCCCAGAAGGTCATCGGAAAGCTTTTTCTCTGAGGAAAACTGTAAGAAATTCAAGACACTAAACTTGTATTGTAGATGTTGGCCACCAGACTAACCCTCCCATTTTTGTATTGAGGATGGTGGAGGAAACAGACACACTGCAAGAGAGGCTGCCTGGGTGCAGTCAGTCTGGAAAGTTTACTGTAAGTAAATGGGGGAGGGGGAGGAGCCTTTAAAGCCAATGAAGTATGGGAGGCCCCGAAGTAGAAAAAAAAATCCAAACATATTGGCCCATAATAACAAAGCTCAGACAATCTATTGTCAAAGTTATGTTTTAATATAAAACAGTAAAAAAAATCAAAACACATGTTCTTAGTGTTATGCATAGAGAAATTTTGGAAGGATACATAAAACCAAATGAAATATTGATTGGGTGTGGTTATATACATCTATAATCCAGTAGTTGGGAGGCAGAAGCAGAAAGAGAGTCTCTGTGAGCTTGAGGCACAATAATGACACAGATGTTGCGGGAGTAACCAACCACTTTTAAGAATTGAATTTTAAGGCCTATTCCATGAGAAAGATCCCATTCCTGGCACTGCTAACATGCTCAAGAACCTGACACTAGATAGGTCATAGACCTAAGGAAAAATTAACTACTATTATTCTGCTAAAGGAAAATAGCAGTATAACTACTTCAAGCAATACACTGCAATGCCCATATATCAGTGCATTGCCCAGCCCTCAGCAGAGAAGTTCCTTTTTGCAATAGATAAGAACACAGAGACTCACAAGTGGACAGTGTGCAGAGAGTGAGAAACTTTGAAGCACTCAGTCCTAAACGGAATGTCTCCATCAAACCCTGCCCTCAAGGTTCAGGGATGAATATGGAAGAGGAGGCAGGAGGAGTTTAAGATCCAGAAGTTGATGAATTACTCTAAATAAATAGCATCCTTCCAACATAACAGGGATCACACACATATGAACTCGCAGAAGTTATTACAGCATGCACAATGTAGACAAAAATCCCAACATCGAGAAGAGGAAGTGACACAAAGCTCCATCCCAAACCAAGAAGCTATTTGTAGTTGCTACCTGCCGGGAAAAGAAAAGCCGTTTTCTCCAGGGAAGTCTCACCGGGTGTGCCAGCTGCAATCCAGGACAAGCCTATACCCAGCATGAACTGAATTCCATGGTTTTTATTTTTTGCGAGATTTTTGCTTTGTTCTGGTATTTTTGTCCTATTGTTTTGTTTTGATTTTTAAAGAGAAGCATGGAGTTGGGTGAGTAGGGGATGAGAAGGGGCTGGCAGGGGCTGGGGGAGGGGAAACATAATGGAAATGCATTCTGTGAAAAGCAAATGAGAGAAAAGAAAAGGTATCATCGAGTTCGCTTTAATTTGGAGAGATGCGAAGAAGGAGGTGGATGGAGGACTCGAGTGGAAGCAAGACTTGCCATAGCGGGTTGTATTTCACAAATTCGATGAGGTTTTGGTGAGGGTGCAGGTTCACGTGTGTGCATGTATGGACAGATGCGTGTGCACACACGCTCAGGTGCTGCTCCTCAGGAACTTCCCATCTGGGTTTCTGAAACAGTCTCTCATTAGCCTGGGGCCCACCAGTTACTCTAGACTCGCTGGCAGTCACAGGTATCTGCTCACATCGACCAGCACAGGAATGGTAAGTGTGCACCACCACAGCCAGCATTTTTACACGGTTCCCAGTGATCGAACTAAGTTCCTCTTGCTTGCAGGGCAAGCATTTGACTGAGCTACCTCTCCAGCCATTAAGAACAGCTCACTTAAGGGGAAAAAAACATTTTAATTAATACAGTAAGCATCCTCTCATTTTCTGTAATTAAAATGCCCTGGAGGCCACCCTGTGAGGATCAAAAGGGACACAGACAAAGGTGACACCCTGTGGCATCCACCCTCTGGGAGTATGAGCTCCAGTGGAGGGGCAAAGCTCAAAAAGCAGGTGGGAGGGAGTGACTGGGCCAGGGATGAACCACACAGAGCTGGGCTCTTCAAGGATGCTCCGCAGAGGTACTTACCCTGTCGTGTACGGGATGTTGATGCCTCCTAGGTTAATGCTTTCACATCCCACAATAAACAGGGTTGAGAAGCACAGCAAAGACACCCCGCTGCAGATCATCGCTAGTTTAGCAGATTCTCTCGCACCAAGCTTCAATTTTTTTATAATGTAGCCTCCCAGGACGATGCCAACACCAGCGCTGGGGACAATGATGACACCTGGGAAGATGAGAGGAAGAGGGCGTTAATGTATGCTAGCATCCACTGTTACTTGTTTCTTCTAATTTTTCTGTTTCTGTTTGCACCTTAGTACAAGGGTAAAGAATGAAACGTACTCTAGTCCATAAATATTTAGCATGTGGTTTTATGACTTACAATTTTTAACACATATTGACAAAGGATTCAAATCCAGAAGATGCAAAAAAATACTTTTACAAAACAAATAAATCACGAGAAAGGTGAACAAAAATCTGAACTGGCCCTTCACTAAAGAGAAAATCCAAACGTCCTAAGCAGATGAAGAAACAGGCTAAAGCCACAGTGAGATTCTACCACATCCCAGTCGGAAGGTGAACATTTTAAAGTTTGGCCATGCCACATAATGGTCAAGATATAAGTGCAGGAAACTCTTGACAGTGGAGGACTAGAAGTAGGACCAACTTTGAAAAGCAGTCCTTCATGACCTGGAAGGTAAACACACCCTGCAACAGAAAGGTCCTTCCAAGATGCATACCCCCAAAGAAACCCATGGTGTGCACCAGCCATCCTAACAGACCTCAACTGAAAACATCCCACAATGGACACATTATACATGAAATATTCCTATCACAAAGGACTGCTATACAGGAACACAAAGGCAGACGTGTAACCAAACACACATAAAATGAATGACTCTTACAAAGATGACACAAGGAAAAAAACAACAAATGTGCACATGCCCACACCTGCATCAAGTTCAAGAACCAGGCAAACAAAGCCTGATGTTCTAGGATGTGCACACAGGAGGTATCAGTATAGAGGAAAGGTAATTGCCATGAAAGCAAAGGTAGCTGGGCTATGAGAGGCTCAGGACAGAGGCGCTCCTGAACTCCTGAAAACGCTTCGTTCCCTAAAGTGGGCCGTGGTTACTGCCACGGCATGAGTGCTTACGTCTCCCTGAATCCATATGTTAAAGTTCTAACCCCCCAAAGGGTTGGCATTCAAAGAGTGGACACCTCATGAAAGGGATTAGTGTCCTAACTAAAGAGACCCGAGCACGCCCTGTTCTCTCCATCATATAAGGGTGTAGTGCAAATGTCCCGTCTATGAGAAACAGACCTTCACCGAATACCAAATCTACCAGCCCCTTGATTTTGGACTCCTTGCTTCTTGAACTGTGAGAAACCCATCCTTCCTACTTACAAACCACTCCGAGCATGGTAATCATATTTCATCAGCCTGAATAGACCAAGCAAGTCTTACACTTATTCCTTTCCTCTAAAATTGTGACCACTGACCTACTTGGAAGCATCATATTTCGTTGTAGAAAAATAAAGACATGGGGATGGAGAGATGGCTCAGCTGTTAAGAGCACACACTCTTCTTGCAGAGGACCCAAGTTCAATTCCCAGGAATGGGCAGCCCCACAACCACCTGTAACTCAAGTCTAGGGAGAACTGGCCCTGTGGACCATCAAGGTTATCAGCATTCACATGAGTGAACACACTTCAAAACTAATAATAAAATGAATCTTTATTTTAAACAATGAAAAAATAAAGACACAGTCAGAATATGCCACCCCCACCCTTACAAATTAAATGAGAGACATACATGCTAATAGAAAATCTCAGTAAAATAATTCTACAAGGTGCTAGGAAAACGCAGGGGAGGGGTGAGCTGAGTCTCCCCTGGGAGAGGCCAGGGAGAGCTCTCACGGGGCAGTTTTCAGCAGGTATTCACTAGAAGAGGCCGAATGTATCTAATGGACCGGCACAGAGAAAACATCTGAAAAAGGAAATACACATGAAAGCACGAGGTCATGGCATTGGGTATTCATGCCACTTCAAAAATACCAAGAGTGTGCAATGCAAGATGGTGGGAGGTGAGGGGGTGCAGGAAGAGAGGCTAGGAAAAGTGAGACCCTAAGAGACCAGGAAAAAAGGATCGGATTATGTATCTGAGCAATGAGAGGCCACTGGGGAATTCTGAGCTGGGTCGGGTGAGAGTTCTGTGCTGTGAAGACCATTGCTGAAGTGAGATACAAGATAGCCTTGATGGAGTGAGAACTGGAGTCTGAAGTGGTCAGAAGCGTGATTGCAAGGGCCCAGGATTGCCACAGGGAAGCTCCGCACTGACAGCACAGAAAACCAGGTTAAACGGCTGGAAAGAGCAGGAAAGCTAGTGTCTGAAACTCAGTAGAACAGGGACCCGGAGAGGAAGACAATGTGTAGACAACAGTTTAGCGATCTCTGCTGCGGACAGGAGTGTGAGGGGCCCAGAGAAGAAGCAGAAGCAGGTGGAGGCCTCCCATGGGGCACCGGGAGCTGTAAGCAGAGCCATGCTGAGAGATTTCTGGTATAGTTCAATCGGAGAGGGAGGACTTTCTCAGATGATGCAGTGAGGAAAGGAGAAAGGCTCCTGAAGAGAGCCAGTGTTGATGGGTTATGATGAAGAGGTGTGCCCATAGAGAAAGCTGAAAACCAGACAGAGGCAAGAGGAAAGCCAGGGGAGAACAATGCCATAAAGGGACTGAAAGTAACCAGCTAATCATCAACACGCAGGTGTCCACATTTCATGTGAGAGTCATTCCCAGGTACTTCTAAGTAGCTATGTCTGGACTATCTTGGGGCTGGTGGCCCAGTTCCTCCATCACCCCCACACCATCATCTTGGCCTCTCTAATGGTTCTACTCTCTTCGTGAGGGGAAATACAAAAGCAGGTCCTCTAGGGCGAAGTTACTGTCCTGCTACCAGCTGTCTGAACGTAATTTCATGATCTTTTCTGGAACCCTCCTTCCCTTTCCTGAGACCCCAGACCTCAAAGAGCCAACACCCTGTTCCCCAGTGCCCCAGGGGTAGCCTCTGCCTGACACTGCCTCTTGTCTAGCCCTCTAGGGGACTGTTCTATGGTCTGTCAGCTTCTGATTCAAGCACTCCCTAGGGACCATGATCCCTAGAACTCGGGGTATCATAGTGTCTATGTGTGTCGGGGATGGGGTGGGGGTGCATCAATCTGTGCTAAAGAACATCTCTGGCATGCTTGCAGGAGAGGGCAAAGGGCAGAATGGGGTGGGGCAGAATGGAAATGCTGCTTGTTCCCAGCCCAGGATCCAAAGACCTAAGTTCTGGTGAAAGAGATCCATGCAACTGCTGGTGTCTGAGAATTCCAAATAAGACAAAACCCTGCCCTGCCACTTGCAAGATGTATGTCCTTGGTAAATTGTGCAGCATTTCCAGAACTCAGATTTTTCTCCTCCTGTCAAGTGTGCGCAGTAATAATACCATCATCACAGAAACGTAAGGAGCAAATGCGTTAGGACGTAAGAAGACCGGAGAACGGAGTCTGGCCCACCATATGCACCCAAGAAACACTGGGCTGTCGTTACCACCACCATTACTTAAGATAATGTTATTAGCCGGGGAGGCGATGATGCACGCCTTTAATCCCAGCACTCGGGAGGCAGAGGCAGGCAGATCTCTGTGAATTCAAGGCCAGCCTGGTCTACAAGAGCTAGTTCCAGGACAGGCTCCAAAGCTACAGCGAAACCCTGTCCCTAAAAACAAACAAACAAAATAATGTTATTATATTTGTGTGCCTGTGTGTGTGTGCATGTGTGCATGCTGCAGGGTACATGTGGAGGTCTGAGGACAACTGTGGATGCTGATTCTCCCTACCCACCAAATGGGTCCCAGTGATCAAACTCAGGTCCCCAGGCTGCATGACAAACATTTTTACCTGCCAAGCCATTTCACCAGCCCATCATCACTATCATTTCTAAAATTGTGAATATCACTGAGCTACTTAATATTAATGAATTGGATACATTTGCACAAACATATAAGGATGAATTGGGCAAATTTTAATAAATGAGACTGAATTATGGCAACCTATGCGGCCCAACATACACTTGTACATGCTCTTTAATAAACAAACCTTTGATACTTAGCCATGTGTGTCCTTAATTATAACACTCATATACTTAGCTGTACGTATATGTAATATTATAATACATATCTGAAAATGTATGTAATACTATAATACATGTCTGATACATATATGTAATCATAATACACATCAGATACATGTATGTAACATATATGTAATATCAAAATACATATCACTAAGGTACTCAGCGTTGACACAGCAGAAGACTCTGCCTTGGGATAAGCGTTCTAGGAATGCCTTACCATCTTTAGGTGAAAATCTTTGGGATACTTATCTTTTTTTTTTTTTTTTTTTTTTTTTGCACATCTTTCCCTGAATGCTACTCCATTGTCCTTTCTTCAATTATTCTGAGCCACCCTATTCCTATCTTTTGTAGATGGAAGTTTCTGTCCTGCAGCCATTCAGTGCCAAATAAACACAGAGAGGTTTATATTGATTATAAACTGTTTGACTTATGGTCAGGCTTATTAGTAGCTAGTTGCTATGGCTTAAATCCAAACATAATTCTTGTCTATGTTTATCCACATGGTTTAGTACCTTTTATCAGTGCAGTATTCTCATCTTGATTCTTCTGTGTCTGGCTGATGACTGCAGATTGAAACTTTCCTCTTCCCAGAATTCTCCTAGTCTGGTTGTTCCACCTGTATTTCCTGCCTGGCTACTAGCTGATCAGCATTTTATTAAACCAATAGGAGTGACAAACCTTTACAGTGTACAAGAGTATTATCTTACAGCAACATTTACTCTCAAAAAGTATCACAGAGTAAAGAGAGACAATTTGCTTCTTGCTATTGTAAGAACAGGTTGGATAGGTGGTCCCAATGACAGATCAGGCTGTGTATAAGTCTAGGGCTAGATCTTACCTCCTTCCTAGAGACCCTAATCAACCTCTCTTCTGTATTTTAACAATTTTTTTTTTAAGATCAAGTCTCAGGTAGCCTTCCATGGCTAACTTTGAACTTACCCATAGTTGAGGATGACCTTGAACTCATAGCCATTCTGCTAGTGATGATAGGGGTATAGGCTATATTTCCAGATTTTTAGCTTCTTTTACAAATAATTAAAAAAATAGTTCA